AACAGGCAGATCTACAAAGTACACTGTTGAGAGGAGCAGCAGGCGGGTCAGGAGATGTCTGAAATGCCATGTGGTCACCTCCGGGGCAGGCGGGAATTGAACTCATGTGGAAGTGGCTTTAGCTTCTTAGTGCAGTGCTTTAACCCGCTGCGCCACCAGGGAGGGCCAATTCTCACCTAAACTTAATCCCCTAATCTACAGTTTCAGCCTTCCCCAAAGTGAATTTATATATATATATAATAGTTTATTTTTACATTTTTTGTGCATTTTTCCATCAAAGTGAAATTTTAAACCAACCATTCTAGAGTCTTGGAAAAGTGAAAGATCACATGTAGTCTACACAGACTATTAGACTCTACAGAAAATGTTTGTCTTCTTATGGATTGAGGTAACATGGTTGGAGGTGTTAAAAACTATCTCATTTGAGAGATCTAATTAGCTTTCTTAAATGACTCATGAGTAGGATAGCATCCCATTTAGCATGAAAAACGCACTGCAAGTTGTATCAAAGGGGAGATTTCTATAGCCAGGAGGGTGGGACAAGAACAAATATTTCAGGCAAACTCCTCATCCCTTTGCAAAGGAGGTTGACTGTTAGGCAGATTACCTCATTAATGTAGACCAAGAACTCCAGAATGATTGATTTAAAATTTCCAATCTTTTGAGAGAAGCTAAAAGTGCAATTAGGTTAATATATTAAGTCTCGGTGGGGACTGGTGTGAACAACTACATTTTGGGCTTTTTTTCCCACAGATTTATTTTTATTTATTTATGCCTACAAGAACTGGAGTCTAGGCCAGAGGTGCAGGGGAGTGAGAGAATTCACCAGAAACAGAGTGAGGAACAAAACAGGCTTATCTATTGAAATACACTGCTGAAGGGAGCAGCGGGGAGACAGGAAAGGTCTGCCACGCCGTGTGGGCTAGCTTCCTGGCAGAAGATCGAACTGGTTGATGATAACTTGATAGCTCTAAAACTTTAATCCCTATTCCACCAGGGAGGCCACTCTTTTTTAACATAGGGAAGCAAAATTTGCCACCTCAAAGTACGTCTCTTTGACATCAGGATCATTTTAGGCTATTGCCAACTATTAAAGTAGCATAGTCTAGAAAACAGAAATGTGGGCCCAAAGTATCAAGAAAAAGTAAAAACTCAAGTATCTTCTGTCCTGGCTTAGAATCAAAATGACAAAGGTAGAAGAAGGAGCTGAGTTGGCTCCAGAAAGGGTTCAGTTGCTGAACACCTGCAGTTCAAGGAAAGAAAAAGTGGACAGTGTCTTGTGAAGTCAGTATGGAAACCAGTATTTTGATAGCAAGGCTGATGGATAGATTTCTGTAACAGGATCAGTCTCAAGTATTTCTTGTCCTCAGAAATGGCTACAACAGGATTTGATATTTTTCAGACTGTGGGTTATGATCCATATTCAAGAAAACATTAGGGTATATAAGTTAGGATACCTATTTGTGAAACCTTTCTTTTGGTTGCAAATGTGTACAGAGGTCAAAAATACACTTTTTGCTGTAGTTGGAAGCCAGGAGTTTAGAACCAGGATGGCTTTCTAGTGTTTAATTGCATCAATTATTTCATATGAATATATAGACCTAACATATAGTGCAACAGTCACCATTAACAGTAGCTCACACTGTTATTTCAAATATATAAAGTAAATATGGTATTGAGAATGTAAAAATTAAACGCACAACTATGGAAAATTCAAAGTCCAAGGGCATATAGGCAAATATCAAACAGATCATTTCCTTAAAAGATAAATTTTAATATACAGAATAAAATCCAAGATCTTATTTTTCATTTCTCCCAAATTTTTTGGTACAAGTACTTTTGAATCTGACTGG